ATTCCTGGCTATAACTATTCCTCCATTGACAGCAGATGTTTGACAGCATGTATAACATGTTCTCCTTCCTCTTGTTTCATCACATGGAGGATGACAAACCAGTAATGCAGTCCATTATTCTGCTTGCCCAAATGAGAGGTCTTTGTGATGGATGTAAAATCTACACCCTCTTAGTGACCTGAGCAGGTGTTAGTGTGATGCGACATAATGAAATAGTATTACAATTTGTTTTTTAAACTAGAAAATTATATGCGTATAAATTTACACATATATACATGATGTTTAAAAAGCTTTATCAATTTTTAGGAACAAGCACTCAAAAATTACGAAAATATAATATTAAAGCTTGCAAGTGCAATCTTAATTTGAGCCTTTTATATATTTGCAGCTTTGAATTGCATGGATGCATGCCACTATTTTTTATAGAGGATACCTAAGTTAAAATTGACAAAATAGACATTTATGGGGCTTTCTGGTGATAGAAGCTGTAGAATCCAAACTTGATTTGCAGAAAATGAAAGCTATGAAAACAACAAGGCATGTAACTGCAGGATAGGAGGATATAAGAGGAAATAAAAGGACTGCTTTTGTTGTGCAGACTGTCAAAGGCTGTGCTGGGTAGCTGAATTTTATCTCTGCTCTCAGCCACTGAAACCTTTTTGGACATAAAGCAAGTCACTTAAACCAAACTTCTCACCTGCTTTCAGTAGCTGTTTCCTCCTTGTGTTCTGGGTTCTTGACCCGAGACCTTGTAGGCTGGTTTGCAGAAGCGCTGAATGCTCAGCCACTGGGAACTGAACACTGAATTTATAAAGTGCTATATAAACCTGAGCGTTCTGAAAAATGACGCCTTAAGCACCTCAGGTTAGTGCCCATAATGTATGAATACTTCTGAAGGTAATCTCTGCATGTATCAGAACATGATTTGCATTCTGAGAGCTGTATCATTCCCTTGTAACATAAAATAAATTAGTTAATGTTTGTGGTGGTCTCACGCATTACAGTGATGAGCATCTTAGAAAACCTCATGAGGAAATTAGTATTCTGTCTTCAGAGGAGAATGTGATTGACAAAGAGAAATGAACTATTGAATTAGCTGTTCATAAAATGTACTGAGAGCACTAGGGTCCTTTAGAATAAAAATATACCTATGATATTTTAATTAAATATTGTACTATATTGCACATCCACAAAAGGGGGAAATTAAGATCACATATATAAACAGAATTCTGACATTTCCTAATTTGGATTTCTTACTTTTGCTGTCTTAAATTTGTTTTTTTTAACATAGTTCTCTGTAAGTACCTATGATGCTATACTATATGCTATATATGGGAAAAGACGCTACTTGTATAATCAAAAAGGCATGTTTTCAAATGTGGAGAATAACTCTCTCTCTTTTAAAATTCATGTAGTGCTAATTACTAAATATGTAATTATTATGGTCTTAAATAAAATGGAGCCTAAGCTTATAGTCCTACAGTTCAGTGAGAGAGTAGGAAGATCCTCTCTCTCATGCAATAGCTGGGATTCAAGATGCCTATCTGCTTCACATCTGCATTTCTCCTGCAATGACTCTCACATTGTAACTGAACTGACTGGTTCTGACTTTGTAAAACATAGTAGCTTGGCCTGGGAACGCACTCTGGGATGGTTTTTGCCCACATTAGTCAGAGGTGTCTTTGGTGCCCGTGGAACAGAATGAGACCCTTAGGGATTTGGCTTAACCTGGCAGATCAAGTCTGTTTCTATTTATTGTGATGCCAAATTTCATTCGTGGAGAGATGAATGAAAATTTCCTTTTTAAAAGGTGGAATTCTTCTGAACTTTCTGAAATCTAATTTTTATGAGCAACGATGCCTAACTATAACTAAAATTCTAGCAGCTGGGGTGTGTGTTACACATTCATTAGTTCTGGACACTCTGCAGCTGATGTTCTTTGAACATATATTGGAAAATCAAGGAGTTATGATGATTACTACAAAGTCAGCAAGTGTAATAAAACATGATATCCTCTTATAAGGTAATCATATTAATAGTACAGACCTTATACTGCTCTCAGACCACAGCAGCTTGGCCTATTTTATAATAATCTAGCCTTCATTTGCCACACAGCCTGTTTCTGTAAACCAGAAGAAATGGACCAGGACTGTTACTCTTATTTTGTGTGTTAATTATCTACTTCTTATGCAGTGGACATCTCCAAGCATCCTAAGTGCCTGATAAGAAATTAAAGTAAACCAGCTAACCTATGTTGCGTGCAGAAACCGCTGAAGTGCAGGGGCGCATAGCATGTGGGGGTAGTCAAAGTGTGGATAAGATCAACCCTCTTCAACTGAACCTTTTCATTATGAACCATAGGGAGGTGAAGGAAGAGGGAAACATAACTGAAAGCTGCACAACAAAGTCAAACTGACAGCACCCATGGAATGGAAATGGGATCTGGCGTATTGTAGATTAGAGTGTTGAGCTTTACTGGGTATATTGAAGCAAAACAATAGCATATTAGTCTGGCCTGATCACAGCTAATTAGACTTGCAAAGCCACTTAGCAGCAGTTCTCCACTGTGAAGGTTATAAGCATACAAATGTAAAGTGGCACTGCCACTGCAGCCTCTCATTACAATTTGTAGGTGGTTGTAGGTCCAGCGTTGCTGAGCATACACTTAGCTAGTCAGACATAGGTGATCCTGATCTGTACTATTTGAACAGTTAATTGTGCATAGTTTTACAGTCATACAGAGGTTAAGGGTGCATCAGTAAGGAAACAGTACCAGTTAGTTATGCAGACAAATAAAGTATGAACGATGATTTATGGTAGACCAGTTAAACTCTCATTCATGCAGCGGGTAGACTATTAGTTCATTCTTGCACTCACATAAAACACTGAAGATCCCAGAAGAGATTCAGACACATCTGCTTGTTAAGGGTGCATTTTAGGATCATGTTGATGGCCACAAGGGGTGGAGAACTAATGAGCCAGACACAGTCAGCTGAAATAATAATCTAATTAAAATGCAGTCTACTGAAAGACCCTTAAGAGACCAGGCTTGACTTTAATTTTACCTGTTCATTGTCAGACAAGTTTCAAATATTAGATCAATAGAGCTCCTGTTTAACTTGATATGTTTTTCTTATGTTCTTCATAATATTTTGTATTGGAATACCCATTTGAAGTGGAATAGCTATTAACAGAGCTAAATCGTGATATAAAAATGACTTACAATTATCCCAAAAACTATGTTTAGGTCAGCATTTTGGAATTAATTAGTATCAGTAGAATGGTATAAAACTCTAAAGAATAAGTCTATTATATTGCTATGTATTTAGAGCAGCAAAGCTTATTGGATTTGTAATTTCCTACAGTTCTTAGGGGACTTCGGCAGGGAGAACTCCTCTTCTGAACTCTCTCCGCTTGACTGTTCCCAGAAGAACAATGCTTATTGATATCAGTTCTTTTATTATTGATCTGCTCAGTATAAAGTCCTTTCATCTTCACATTTTATTTTTCTCTTTTTTGCTTTCATCCGGCTTTGTGTTTAGTACACGGTGTGGACTGCCCTGTGGGTCACCTGGAATGTTTTCATTATCTGCTTCTATTTGGAAGTAGGCGGACTTTCTAAGGTAGGTCACTTATCATTCTTTAGGCTTATGGGAGGGTGTTTTAGTATCAGAACTGTTAGATTTTAAAAGTCTGGAACCATAGAGGAAAAATGTGGTTGTTTGAACATACAATTTGAACTTCAGAGCTCCCCTCCAAAGAGAACTCTAGTATTTGAACTTGTCTATAATAGTAAATAGTCATGTTTCTGAGGTACATAAATGCAGTGAATCTGAATAACAGTTGCTTTCTGAAGTACCATCTGAAAAAAAAAATATTCAGTGGAAAATTTAAGATTCTTTTTGATGGTTGAAAAACAGGCCGTGTCATTTTCGGTGACATTTCAAGTGTGTATGAAAAATGTATCTGAATTTCTGAGACTGCTTTGAAAGCAGCTAAAGAAAACTACTAAGAAGGTTAATGTAATAACTTGTTGAACAAATTGGTCTCATAGTGAGAATGTTAATTCTTTAGAAAAAAGAAACAAATGGTAAAGGATGACTTTTTTCACATCTGAATAAAGCTTTCCATTACTTGTCACTCAGTGCTTTAGGTCACTGATTCCTTATTCAAACTCCTGATTAGAGCAGAAGTGTTTGCTGGAAGTATCAAGTTACACGTTACAATCAAACAAGGTGGCACTTATGTTTAGCATAGGTTATATTTAGCATTGTATCCACGGTGAGCTCCATACAATGTCTGCTGATTTTCATCCTACTGTTAGACATAGATGATGTTGATCTTTGTTTACTACAATCATCTTTGAATAATTTCAGGCACGATATGCCAGTAGCACAAGCAGATCCCAGTGTTATTACTAGAATAAATGTTGTAGAATTGCTAGAATTAGTAGTCATACGTTTAGCAATATTAATTACATTCATGTTAATTAACTGAGCACCACTCAGTTAAGAAGGGAACATCTGTGATGTACATCCTTTATTAGGATCACCGTTAAACCTCCTAGCTTTTGGATAACAACCAACAAAAATCTGGTGAAACCCATTGAATAAGATATAAAACTTAATTTGCTCAGAGAGCATACACCCTATTAAAATTGAAGCTTAAAATTAAAGCTTTTAATGATAATTTCCTTTAGTTATAAAATTTTATAATGAAAAGCTACAGCTGTTTGTTTTTTCTCAAAGTGTGATGTCACTCACCAGAAGTTATTGGCTGGATGAGAAAATTAGTGCACTTCATAGAAAATCAGAGTAAATGATAAAGCTGGTATGTTCTCATTTGAAAATCTATTAGGTGAACAGAAGGGCAACACACAAAAGTAATGAATGCCCAAAGTAGTTGTTCTTTTTTCATTTTACATTGCATATTGAGTTTGTTTTTTAAGTCAATTAGGTGATGACCTTCCCTACTATTTTTATCCAATTGCCTAGTAAGTGGAACTTGCAGTTTGATCCTTGAATTAGTGAAAATCAGAGCTGGATATAAAACAGCTTATATGACTTGAAATCCTCTAACTGCCAGTTCTACCACTATGTTTCACTTTTAGTTCTTTTTATTTATCACATATGACAAGTCATAATGGAAACAAATAACATCACAGATATAAATCAACAGTTCAGAAAAATCTCTGTTTTTATTATTTATTGATGTTGACCTTAGAATTTTGGTGGAACTTATGTCTTGTGGTCTATAATTACAGCGTTTTGAAAAGCAGTGTCTCTACAAGGTAATGCACACAAAATTATCTCCATGGAACTTAACTGCTCTTGTACAATAGACTTCAAAGGCATCCATATCAAGACCAAGCTAGGAACAGCAGAATCAAGAATTTTATTCAGTAAGCTACAGAATTTGGAATCCATTTAATGCTATCTGTGAAAATTATGCTAGAGATTATGTGGTCATTAACAGATAGTACTCTTTTTGCACGGTATTCATAAAAACCTGGCAATTTACAAGTTTATGCATATTTGACACTGACTTAATTGGGACCCACATTTTACCAAGCAAGTTAGCTTAGAAGTTTCATCATTGCTTTCCATAAATATGTTCCTGTGTTGTTAGATGTGAGCGAAATGTTGCTATTAGCAAGGTATGTTAATGTAGTTCATAAAACAAACCCTATCAAATGCTTTTCAAAGATGGCTGTTTCCTCAGTGTTGAAATCTCAGCAGGGAGTATTCACTTTTTCTCATGTGATTGTTCTATTTTTCCATTAAAAGAAAAAAAAGTTTTTGTTTCTGAAATTAATGCACATTGATTATAAATTTTTATTTCTGTTGATATACTTTCAGGAAAAATTATAATAGTTTCTAGCAGACGACTGAATTTTTGTTTTTTAAGCACTGTTATGTATATTTACTCTGAATAGAATTAAAGTTAGCTTTACTTGGAGTTCAGTGAATTTATTAGGTCTTCCATCATTAATATCATCAGAAAACATAACTTGGCACAATATTAAGATGTAAATTTAGTAAAATGTCTTCAAGTGGCACAGACAAACAATGAAGACAGACTAAACGTTTTAGATGTACTAATAGAAACCCCCCAGCAGCTGAAATTTTCTCAAATCTTATTCTTGCAACTGAAAGGAAGATATCTTTTGAATACTCTCTATTTGAATTATGCCAAGAGTTCCTGTTAAACTTGATGGAAAATTTGAATGAGAATAAGAAGAACATAAGTAATTTAGACCTTCTTTGTTGTGAGGGTCTGAAGGAAACACTTTTCCTTTCACTATAATGCATAATGCCCAGATTTTCCTGGTAAATTGATTTTTTTTAAGCTGCTTGACTTTTAATTTAAGGCTTATGAATCTAGTACACTAAGATCTTTAAGATTTTCTGGATGAGGAACAAAGAAATCTAATGCCACTCACCCTCACAGGGTCAAATACAGCATACATGACAGGATCCTTTACATCTTTTCAGAAAAGTACAGCTTTTTTTGGTAAGAGTGACATGAAAAACCTTTATATTTTCAGTTGAAAACACATTTCGTGTTTTAAAATCCTTTGCCCATAAATAGTTTCACACATACTCAAATATTTGGACCCAAATTCCCACCCAAAGTTTCTGTTTTTTAAAATCTGAAGGGCTAAACTGATAAATCTGAGGGAGGAAGTTGGTGGGAAGTGGTTAGTTGGGAGCAGAAAGAATATGTATACGGATGTAGGCTTGTGGTCAGGAAATTCTCTTGGGTTTCCTTTCCTGCTCCAATTAATGTCATTATCTTATGTAATGTGGAAAAGCTTCACAGAAGAGACTGAAAACAGCCCGCCCCAGAATAACTATAGTTTGTTAATTAGGGCAGTCTCCTGGGAAATGAATGATATAGATTCAAGTCTTTTCAGGCAGACAGGGAAATAAATTGTTTGAAAATATGGTTTGACTACATCCTATCTGAAAAAATACCAGAAACAATGCCAGAAGCTGTCACTTTTAAGGTTTGGATGTTCTTAAATGTCACTCACAGAACTTCTCACTTGTATACGCCAGTTCTCCATTCCCAGCAATACACTATTTGCTGTCCTTTTTTACTTTACAAAGGAGATTTCATTTATATAGTGTGCACAGTTAATATTTCTACTACTTACTTACTCCACTATTTCAGATCTAGATTGAAAATAATTGTGTATTTGTATTATCATTTGCTCTGCCCATTGATACTTTTTGATAGACCACCTTTTTATTAATTGTTTTATTGTGGGTTGCTTTCACATTTGCTTTTGTGTTTTTTAGCTCTTTATCTAAGTAAACGTATATTGGCATATTTTCCTGCAGAATATTATATCAAAGTCAAGTGCTGTTCAGACACAGGGGTTTTTGGAGCTTTTCCACCTCCTCCTATTAAACAGAAAATAACTATTCTCAGCACCATTTTCTCTTTCAAAGTACCTCATTACCTTGAGTACTTCAGTAATCTGAACTTCTTCCCTATTGTTTTATATAACTTTCCTAAGCAGCTGTGCAAAGTTGATGAGTTCATTTCCTGTTCTGCGATGTTTTTGTTTGCTTTGCCCATTTTCCCCTGTAGCGTGCTTCTCAGGTATGACCTTTGCCTCATTCTGGAGTATTTTACGTTTAGCTTTCAAGGTTGAGACCACTGTCAGCTATACCTGTTGTGTTGCTTTTGAGCAAGCTTTTGCATGACAGTCATCCAGTTATTCTGTAGGAAACTACTTCTGAAACAACGTACATTTATTATCTGGTCCTTCGTTTTACATGTTGAATTTAGATAAATAGGAACTCTATAATATATTTGCAATACTGGCCTTATTAACCTTCCCATTGACGTAAAAGGAAGTTTTTCTGTATGTTAATTAGTAAAATAAATAGTATTTCTTGTAAGATTTACTTTTATCAATAGAATTTCAAAGTCTAACAGATTCTTGGCCGGCTTTAATAAGCCAGAGACTAAATTGTGATTCAGATCTGTTGTTGGTGGACAGCATTATATTTACTGTCCATTGAAATTTATTCCAGAGGATAAAAAGAGATTAATAAATTGCTTACTGCAAACACTATGGAAGTGGAGAAATAATAGTCCTTTTTAAATAACATACTATACATTAGGATGGGGATGGATCATGTGGACTATGTCCTGGCTACTGCTGGAATCTAATTCATTCCATGTGGTGCACGTTATTCAGTCCTCAATTATTGTGCAATTATATCTAATCATCTCAGATGGAGTAAGTTAAGCTCGAAATCCATACTATTTTATAATTAAAAGAGATACAGAAGGTATATTCTTGGATTCATGTCCTTTTTTTGTGTGTAATGAGAATATGAACACTGATTGAATTTAGGATAATAATGTGGAAGAAAAAGTGTTTCTTATTTTTACTGGTGCTGATATAAGTGAGAAAATGGAGACAATTATTTTGGCATAATTATCATCAGAATTCTCCTCACTAGGGTAGCCCACTTAAGGAAATAAACTTGGCAGCATTCATAGGAAAGCAAAAAAAAGTGATGAGCTTAGGAAATAAAGCCTATAAGGAAAATGGTGGGGGATGAAAAGAATTTCTACAGTCCAGACCGAAGGCGGGAGGGGA